TGATCGCGATCTGCGGCGGCAATTCGGCGGGAGGTCCTTCGCTCCGAGCCGGAGTAAGGGACCGTCCGCCGAATTGCCGCCGAATAGCTGGACGTGCCGCCCCGCTCCGGAGTGGCCGCCCCAAGCACCTGCTTGACAAGCTGGTGCCTGGAGCCGGCCCTGCCAATAGAGATGCCAGCTGCCATCCTCCTTGAACAAAACACCTTTATTTTCTAAGGGCAGCCTGAAATAAAACGACACTAAATAAATGGCGCCAGAGAAAGAAAGGGTCGGAAGTGGCCGAGTGGGGTGGAATTAAGGCACGAAGGCTCCTTTTTTCCCTCAGAATAACTTGGCATAATTACAGTAATTCCTCTTTCAATTCTATGTCCCACAAATCTGATCAGCCATTTGGGGGGAATTTCTGGTAGATTTCGTTCTAAAGAGAAGCTCTGACTCTGCCTGTGGGGTGATATTGTGTGGCCTGTGTTGTGTGGGAGGGGGAGGGCAGGCTAGATAATGACAATAACCCTAAATTGTGGCCTATAAGTCTATTCCACCCCAAAAAACGGTTCAAAGAATGTTGCAGTTTCAAAGTCAAGCACACAGAACTTTAATGCCAGAACGAAGGCTGCCCATTCAGCTTCAGTTCATCCCCCTTGTGTGTTTGCATTGTCATGCAGCCTTTACCTATGTGATCACTTGCTATTTTTTCACAGGACCCTGTTTCATTCAGTACACTGGTGGAGCTCTGGGGATGAATCAGGGGTCTAGAGCAGTGGTCCCCAAATTTTGGGGCATGCTCCCCTTCGGGGACGCAGAGGAATGTTATGGGGGGCATGCGGCGGGGCTGGGGCTAGCCCCCATGGTGGGGGGGTGGGAGTGCTGCGCTTCCAGCCCGGCTCCCAGACCAACTCCGCCCCCAGCTTTGCTCCTCCCCAACCCTGTTCAGCCCCAAGTCCTGCTCCGCCTCCGGGCCCAGCTCTGCCGTCACTCCCTCTCTGCCCCCAGACCAGCTCCATCCCCAGCAGTACCTCCGATCCGCTCCCAGACGGGCTCTGCCCTCATTCCCTCTCCACCTCCAAACTAACTCAGCTCTGAGCTGGAGCTACTCCCCCATCCCTAGTTCCACCCCCAGCTCTGCCTTCAGCCCAAGCTCCACTGCCGAGGAAGCCTTGGCTGTGCAATAATGGAGGGGGAAGGCGCAGACAGATCCCATTACTGGTAACGGGGCACAACTGAAAAAGGGTGAGCACCACTGGTTTAGAATGAAGGCGGTTGTTGGCTGTAGAAACCTGCTTCATTTGTTGCAGAAGTTGGAAGGTGTCCAGTGCTTGACTTTACCAACCAGAACATGCAGAAGAAAAATGCTGCTTTTAACCATCTTAATTTAAATGAAACAAGAACAAAAACAGTTTCTTTACCTTGTCAATTTTTTAAACTTTCCCTTTTCTTAGTCGTTTAAATTTAACACAGAACCGTAGTGGGGTCTCTGCTGCTGTCTGATTGCCTACTTCTGGTTCCAGATGAGGTGTGTGGTTGACCGGTCACTTCATAACTCTGGTGTTTGTATCTGTGAGTTTCTAGTGTTACACTGTACAACAGCTGTCCAAAGTTCAGCCAGAGGGCCAGATGTGGAATCCTAAAATAGGGCCCATAGCGGCTCTTTCCCTGTAACTTCAGGATGAGGATAAAGCTGACAGAAAGGCATCTTTAATTCATCAGAGTTCAAACCAAAAGCAATTTTTGCTCATCTAGCAAAGGTTATAAGTTAAGGCAATGTTGAGGCTGTTGGCATTTAGCTTCAATTGGAAAAGACATAAATTTGTGTGCAAATCAGCTATGAAGCCCTCTGAAAATTACTCCATTTTACCAATAAAAGATTACCAGGAGTAGCTTTTGTGGAGTGTCCATTAGCTACCTGACATGATGGCGAGGGGGACCATTAGTTATTATCCTGTGCATATTAGCATTAGCACTGACCCTTATTTCAGAATCATTAGAGTAATCTCTGTGTGTGAGAGACAGCCACTATACTGCCCAAGCGGTGACGTGATGTGAGGCATTATGCATAGTGTCTCCAGAAATACCTAGAAGAGAACAATGAGTAGTACTACTAGCTGTGCTTTAGGTGTAATGTCGTTTATGTAATATGCACAGGCCCACACAATGGGATCTGAGCAAGATGAAGGACTTCATTGTTTGCCCCATAGTGAAATTTTACCAGTTTTCCTCCCATCCCAGTCAAGGGAAACCACATATTATATTGAATCCAGGGCCGTTTAAATGCTTTTCTGTCTTGTACTGGTGCCTAACAGAGTATTCCTGTCTTGAAAAGTAAGTAACAGTATGAAAGTAGTTTTCATGTAGATCTTGAGCCCACAAAAAGATTAGGCTTTTTGCCAGCATAAGAATCAGACATTTTCCAATTTTTATAATGAGCCAGTTCTAATAATAATTGCTCATGGTCCAAAAATACAACACAAGATTAAAATGTACAAGGTCTTCCAGGGAGAGCCGTGGTTGCTTAGGAAGCTATACATGCATCTCAATAGATTTTTGGTTTATTTTAATTGTATTCCTTTGTTTTAACTTGTTTGCAAATGATATGAAAGCTTGATTTATTATATGTTTCCATTAGTATTTTTTTTTAAATCCCAAACCACATTTTGATTCAGGCGTGCTTGGCACCCTGTTTTCTCTCTTCCCTATCGTGTTTGAGCTTCAACATCTGCCCGACCAAAATTATTTCATGCAGAATGGTCAGATATTAGAGTTGAAATATGGAAGGGAAGGGAGAAAACAGGGTGAAAATGTGCCTGAATCAAAATGTGCTTCCGCATTTTCAAAATATTCATGAAAATTTTTTTGCCACTTTTGCACTACTTCATGCCCTAGGATGTTATGGGAAGATGTCCCTGAAAATGGGCCCGCTGCAGTTTGGCTAGAGCAGCAGCTCTTGGGGAGTAACAAATCAGAGATCTCCTGTAGCAAATAATGAGCCGGGTGTAATGTGGCATCTCACTCTGCTTTGTGGGGCACCTCAATGGCCTAAACAGCATGTCTAATATTTAGACCCAACTGCATCAAATCCTGGAGGGATAACTCATCTTTTTTCCAAGGTAGAATAATTTAGTTTCATGTCTGTTTGTGTGGTGCAGTTTAGGGGTCTTTCGGATGAAATCTTAACAGTCTTAGTCTTATTTGCTCTATATGGATGTTAAAGATCCTGACACACTTCTTGTAACAGAAGTGGTTTGCCCCAGTGTGTTTGGCAAGAATGTCCTCCCCTCCTTTCTTGTTTTGCGGCAGCGCTCTACGCTGCCAGGTTGCTTCCCTACATCCTCCGTGGTGACAGCGTATCGGGGTCCTGTATGTGAATAGTTGTGTATAGTGCTTTGGGGACCATTCAGAATGGAAGAGGCTGTGTAAAAGTGAAATATTATTTATATAAGTTTTTCAGAAATTAGACCAAAAAACTAGAGGTGAGAAAGGGAAGCTAATAAGGCTGGGCTATAAGAAAACTGCAGACTTCCCTCGCTGGTTCATAAAGAACAGAGAAGCGTTCCATGGCTCTGGAGTGGGTTAGAACAGGGAATCAGGACTCTCGGGTCCTGCTCTTCACTGTGCAACTTTAAGCATTTTACTCAACCTTGTTGTGCCTTGCGTTACCTGTCTATACAATTAGTATAACTCCTGCCTCACAAGGAGTGTTGTGGAACTTAGCATCTATTAAGCACTTTAAGGTCCCTTTAAGGCTACAATGTATGAGCAGAGTACTGTTATTATTATTGCAGTAGTAATGGCTCAGGGGTGTAGGCAAGAAAACCAGACCATTATAGCTGTGTGAGAGGTGGGACAAGGAAATTAGATTTACACATTACAGGAAAAACCTCAATTTCTTTTGGGGGGCAGGAAAGTAGACAAATGAGTGTGGCTTTTCTGAGTGGAGCCTTCAGAAATGGGACAAGGAGGGAAATTGCCAAGAGTGTGCTCTGTTGGGGAAAAGGGTTGATATCAGCCATGAATTAAGCCACTTGAATGACTCCCAGCCTGTGTGGTGTTCTTGGGACATTAACTAGCAGATTAGAACTTAAGCAACGAGGCAATAATTTAATGGCACTTGTGTCTGTATCTTTCTTCTTTTTTTTTTCCATAGCATCCTCTTTGCAGACATAGAGGGGTTCACCAGCCTGGCCTCCCAGTGTACAGCTCAGGAGCTGGTCATGACGCTGAATGAGCTCTTTGCCAGATTTGATAAGCTTGCAGCTGTAAGTTTTCTATTATAATTCTGATTTTGGTTCCTGTTACACGATTGACATACTGCACCGGTTCACTAGATTTCTAACATTCACTGCCCTAGAAGGCAAGTTATTGCAAGCATGAAATGAAGTTTCATACTTCTCCCTCTCTTTCTTTTGTCTTTGTAGGAAAATCACTGTTTACGTATAAAAATCTTGGGCGATTGCTACTACTGCGTGTCTGGATTACCAGAAGCAAGAGCTGACCATGCACACTGCTGTGTTGAAATGGGAATGGACATGATAGAGGCTATCTCGTAAGTACCGATTCCCCAGGGAGAGAAATGTATTTAATCTCTTAATGCATGAGGTAGCTAGCTCATTGAGCTAAAGGCCAGCAGAGAGTGGGTACATTTGGGACCAGCACAGGGACACAAATGGACCTGACAGTAGAAAGACGGAAGCCTGATTCCACTAGAACCAGATGGGGCATCTAAAATATTCCCCCTCCTCCCTACTGGGATAGGGTCATCCTAGGCATGGAAGGTGTCAGTCCCAAACAAGAATTTTTCAGCAAGGTAGAGGCATGTGAAAAGAGGGTTTCTAATGGAAATCTGTCTGTAACCTTTGTAGACCCCTGGTCATTCTGCAGTAGCTTGCCCCTTTGCTTCTTAAAGGGAAAAATGCTGCCTACTAACCTGATTTGGAAAAGGCCCAATGGGCTGCAGATGTAATGTGTAGGGGGAGGAAAGGCTAAGACAGGATGTTGATGAAGCTACATGAGGACAATATGATATAGGCCTGTGCACCAAAAGGGCTCCAACTGCACCAACTTAGAGGGCGGTTAGGATCAGGGGACTGAAGGATGCTGCTGGTGCCACAATCAGGGACGCCACTGCAACCCTGAGGGTCCGTAGCAGCTGCAGAGTGTGTGCTTGGGATGGGGAAAGAGGATCGTATCCTCCTCACAACTGCCACAGATCACCCCTTCATCCACCCTGTGCCAAGTCATCTTCCTGAAGATGGGCACAAGTCCAGAGGATTTGTTTATTGGTGGGTGGACAGCTTCTTTCAGACTAATTACTTGGCCGCAAACAGTTGGGTTTGGCTGTTTATTCACAGATAAGCAGCCTGGTGCTTCATTGCCTTGTCCCTTTTCAGTCGTTTACACTGCACTGAGCGAGTGTATAAATCCAACGGGTTACAACGGTAGCGTTCAACACCCGCTTTGCCGTCCCTGTGCACAGGCAAAAGTAACTCCACATGGGGCAAAGCCCAGCAATGATAAAGTCTGTTTTACAATGTTCAAGAGATCTTTGTAACTGTTAATAAATCTGAAACATTTTCTCTGTGTTCCTAAGGGTAGGTGGAGGTTGGGGGAGGAAGGGGGAGTGAGAACAGAAAATCACTTATTCCAGTGATTGTTAAATGCCTTTCATCCCATACAAAGTGGGAGGCAAGCTTTAAAGATAGAGGAGGAGTTATTTGTAAACCCTAGGGTACTAGCAGCCCAATGCATTTTTTTCAAGGCAAGGTGGGTTGCAGTTCAATAAAGAAGCCTAGACTCTTCGGGCTTCATAAGGTATGTCTACCCTGCAATTAAACACCTGCAGCTAGCCCGTGTCAGCTGACTCAGGCTCGTGGGGCTCAGACAGGGTTATAAAATTTTGCTGTGGACACCCACTACCGGGTCCCAGAATCCAGGCTCCATCCCCAGCCATCTACACTGCAGTTCTGTAGCCCCACATCCCAGCTGACGTGGGCCGGCTGCGGGTGTTTAACTGCAGAGGAGACATACCCTAAGTGTTACTCAGCTGAGTGGGGAGGGTGGTTTACAAAGCAATCTGTCAGGGGCTATAGATTCTTTCAAGCCACCCACGGTAGAAAGCGAGACCTTTGCTGTTAAATGTAATAGACCGAGTGTTTTCTTGGTAGTACAAGTTGTTGGAAATGATTCCTTTTAGCATTTAATAAGATGCTGCCTAACCTGCCATTTCTTTGTACTCCACATCAATTCCATGGGATTCTCTACTACAGCCATTGAAAGCAGGTTATTTGACAACTCCTTTTATACAGATCTCACAGGTGAAAAGTGCAAGGAAGCAGCATGTAAAAATAAGTGAAAGTACAGATATAATAGTCCAGGTGTGCATTGTGTATGAGACAAGGAATAGTTGTTGCATACCAGTCTCAGAAAGAGGTCTCTTAGGTGGGAACGCTGCTTTTCAAACCACATACTTGTGATCTAAAAAACGAGACAAAGGTGTGGGTGTTTGTTTATGTCCTTGAAAAATCCCAATAATAAGGATGTACTGTACCCAGCACAATAAATACGTACCTTGAGACTTGATCAAGATAAAGTGGAAATTCAATCCAATTTACTGAACTGAAGGAGATGAGAACTGCAGAGCCTTTACATTTCTGTTTTAGATCCTTTAATACTAGAGGAGCTGATCCTGGAAAGGACTGAACACATGTTGGCTCCCAATGAAATCAGTGGGATTTGTGAACACTCACCACATCACAGAATTGGACCTATATTGAGGAGTTCCAGCCCTGAGCAGATCAATTAACATAGGCATAATTGGTTACAAATAAGTGTTCTCGAAGCTAGATAGTGCAGTGCACAGAGGACATGTAAGTCCCGGGATGAGTAAGTGGAAAGATAGGCTTCTATTTATGTATATATCATTAAGAAAACCAGAGGAAAAAATAAACAGCCTGTGTTATCAGTTCATTTGGGAGCTATGAGACAAGGTTCAATGATAACACCCCGGTAAGGCAAAGTGTCAGGCGTTTGCCATTAGAAACATGTCAAGTGTTAGATTGTGAGGTCTTTGGGAGAGAGACCGTATCTACCTCTGTGTTTGTATGACACTTAGAACAATGAGGTCTCAATCCTGATCAGGCTTTGGAGTTGAAAATAGCACTTTTATAAAACCATTTGATTCCTTCTTAAAGAAAAGAAAAGAATAAGGAACAAATGAAACTGAATTTGGGGCAATTTATTTTATTGACTGGTGTATGCAACCACTGCTCGTTTGTTACCAAACCTGAGGCTGTGGAGCCCCATATCAGGTGATGAGGGCAGAATGCACTAGATCCTTGGAGAATTAATATCTCCCTTTCCATGCAGGTTCCTCCCCCAGATTAGATTGTCTTTGCAGGAACAGAACAGGGCTATGGTCAGGACTGACTGCAGTTAGTAGGATTTGCCTTGTGCACAACAAGAACCTGCGTTTACTGAAAGTACAGGATCTGGCCCATAGAATCAACTGCTCAGATTGTTGTGTGCCCTGCCCCCCTCTCAACCCCATAGACAACCAAGGAACTGTCAGGTGAGTTTCTCTGTGAAACATGGGCATTCTGGTAATGATGTGATCATCAGCAACTATAAGCCACATTTGGCCTTAATGAGGCCATCAGACCCTTCGTAGGCCCCCCCCCCACCTGAATTCCCAAATGAAATTTCCATGTGAAGAGCTCTTCAAGTAAATTTTTGCCCTAAAAAGGAAAAACACCACCAAGTATGACAGTAGTCGTTTTGGGAGCAAACAGAGTATCCAAGAGCTCATTAAAATCAGAGTCTGAGTGTTTATAGCTGCCCACTTGGAGTGAGAGCAGAAGATGTGGTTCTGTGGTTTGTGATGGCTGCAGCTTAAAGCTCAGTTCAAGTTTTCCAACTGCAGTGAGTATTTCACACACTGATCAGGTTTCATCCATGGAACACTTGATGCATGGTGCCATACAGACAAATTACGAGCTCAAAATCATTTCCTTTTTCTCTTTGCAACATGCTATTACTTTTAATGAGGTTCAGAATGCTGGGAGGTTATGTCCAGTTTTGGAATGGAAATCAAAGACCAAGACTTAGTGCTTTCACCCTCCCAAAGAATTTTTTCATGAGCTCTGAACTTGCAACCAAGTTGAGAGAACAAAGGACTTATTCCAAGGACACCCCTGTCTAATTAGTACTTTGCTTGGCTAGCCAGATTATCAAAGTGCAGTACAGCCTGTCTGTTTTCTGTAGCTAAAGTACTATGAATGAGCAGCCCTTTGTGTGTGTTTGAATAATTTCTAGGGAATTGTGGATTTTGCACTCTTGGAGTCAAGTTATGTCACTGGATACAGGCACATAATTCCCAGAGACATCCTTCTCTTTCTGCATCTCTTTTCAGATTGGTCCGGGAGGTGACAGGAGTCAACGTGAACATGAGGGTTGGGATCCACAGTGGGAGAGTTCACTGTGGAGTCTTGGGCCTCAGGAAGTGGCAGTTTGATGTGTGGTCAAATGATGTCACGCTAGCCAATCACATGGAAGCCGGAGGTAAAGCAGGGTAAGTTGTTGCTTCACCAAAGCTGTTGTGAGTCAATCCACATGACAGTTTTGCTTTTGACCTGCAGGAGGGTCTTGGTTAGTTCGTTTGTCTGTCATAGCATGAGTGTGGTGCAGAATTTTGAATTTGGGCACTCACTGGCTGGTTTATTTCCTCTCAACCCTACACTTCTGTTCACAATAGGTCTGCAGTCACCCATGGTGGATATGCCTTATATGCAAAGAATGGAATTCATCCTCTTTGTAATTCCAGTGAAATTGATGAAGTGACAGTCGGGATTAATGTCTCTGTGTGATCCCTATCACAATGGGTCTTGGTTAGAGAGAGGTGTAACCATATGCTAATAAATGTTTGCTGAAGATATCACCTGGTCATCAGAAGGAAATGTTGTTCCTGCTTTGGCACACCCTTCCATAACAGATCCAAATAAACGTACATTTCACTACCTTAAGGACCAGTGGAAGACCAACTCCCTGACATAGCTTCCCCATGAGATTATTATTCTGTAGGTATTTCTATATTTCCTCTCCCCTAGGAGGGAAGAGTAGAAAACATAGATCATCTACTTGATTGTATACCTCTGTAAGGCACCTGGGTACTACGGTGATTAATATGGTATAGTAAACTAGATGCAGCAGAGTATACATGGCATATGACTTTGTAGACTCATGTCTCGGTCATGTGTGTGTAATGTGTTTTGGTTGTTGAGCAAGCATGTCTACTGTGTGTTAGAGCAAGCAAATCAAAGGAATGTATGAATGAATGAATGGCTGCCTTACATCCACCGGGATGCTTATTATTGGATGCAAAACTTGGATAATGTGTTTTAACCTAATTCTATGGAAAAATATCAATGGGCCTGATTTTACTCCCTTTGAAAGGCAAGACAAAACTCCCGGGGGATATCAGCGGCAGCAGGATTGGACCCTGAAATGAGCTATTTGTTCTAGTGCACAGAATCTGTCACCGGCAGGAATTGGCTTACTAGATACGTGATTATTAGAGCTGCCTAATGAACTCCACAATTTGCCTTTTGTCTCATTCCAGGCGAATCCACATTACCAAAGCCACCTTGAATTATCTGAATGGAGACTACGAGGTGGAGCTGGGTTTTGGAGGAGAACGCAATGCTTACCTCAAGGAGCACAGTATAGAGACCTTCCTGATTGTACGCTGCAGTCAAAAACGGGTAAGAGCAAACAGACTAATGTCTGTTTTAGGTGTTTTTGGCTGGTTGCCACTCCTAACACCTCAAAGCAGCCTGAAAGCCAGGCTTTCCTGGCCAGTAGGGGATTCCCTCTATGCCAAGAAATCCTCTAGTGCCAGAGGCCCAGTGTAACAACTTCTAGGATACCTTCCCTCCTGGCCCCCAGCACAGGTGTGTGTCTGGGGGGAGGCAGGGTATGGCCACCTTTGCACCTCTTCTCACCCCGTTCCTGCCCCAAGCACAATTCGTCTGTACAAAAGAATCTGGCCTTAATCCTTTTTTTTAACCACTTGGGAGATTATTTTGTAACTGAGTTTTATGCTGGTGGAAGCTGGCAAATTATTAGCCTTAGAAAAGCGAAGTTCTCCATCATACCCCAGGCCAGGTACAGCTTCGGCTGCAGCTGGGGAAGCTTTCCCCGCCTGCCCACTAGCGTGCCTCAGACATTAGCTAGAGGGGCCCCTTGAGTTAGTGACAGTGCTTCACTCCATGGTACATGCTTCCTCAGTATATCTGCTGTTTCTGCCAGCCAGGTTATCAGTCAGGGCGTGCTGGGATGGTGGATGCCTGTCCTTGTGGAACGGGACTGAGAGTACCAATTCATTTCCCATAGATCACTTGAACAAGCAGCACAAGGTAACAGCTTTCAGTCACTATTGACTTGAGCTGGACTCAAGTCAATGCAGTAGGCTACAGTCACTGGTTCCACTCATTCCACTGGTTCTGCTGTGTGTCTCTTCTAACAAAAAGTGGGCTGTGTTGCAACTAGTCTGTGTGTCCAGATTATAACTGATTTTAAGGCCAGAAAGGACTACCTTGATCATCTAATTTCACCTGCTGCATAACACAGACCATGATATTTCACCCAGTATTTCGTTCGTCAAGCTCCAAGCACCAGTGGACACTATGTATGCTGTCCGAAGTTCTTACCAGCTTGTAGCGATGGGTCTGGAGCAAAACTCCGTTTTTGAATTACCCTGAATCTGAGACTAATCAAAACTCTACTGTAGATTTGAAACCCCCTGAGCATCTGAAAAATTATTAACTGGATCCGAATGTTTATTTTGCAGCTGTCTCCAGGTCCATAACGGGACAAAGCAAAACACTATTTCAGAACATCCCCAAACTTTGGAACATCTATTCTAACTCACAGAGGAAAGATTGTCTTGTGTTAAAGCACAGGACTATTAGTCAGGACATCTGGGTTCTGTTCCCAGCTCTTCCTTAGTCTTGCTGTCTTACCTCGAAGAAATCACTTGACCTATTTTCCCCTTCTGTAAAATAGGAATGTTGATAAACATGGGCGTTATGAGGTTAAATGCATTGCTGGTGACAAGCATGGTGCATGCATAACATGGTGAATGACCACTATGTCTATACAAAATTAGCTTGAGATCATCACTTGCTCATCATCATTCTGTCAGGAAGGGAAGCAAGCCTCAAATCTTCTAAATGCAAAAAAGGGAAGAAAATCCATTATCATCCTCTAAGGAGAGATGCTAATGTTTTGGTATCTATCTACCCAAGAGATAAACCTCATTAATGATTGTCAATCTTCAGAAGATGATTAGAGTTTTCAGGGCAAGATCGTTATGTCCCACACATCATGGCCTGTCAGTGGGCAGCTCAAGCCACTTGAGATATTTACACTTTACCCTCTTCACTGCTCCAAAACACACTTTTGGTGAGGGCCCATGTCCAGGGGAGGGAGGGTGTATTGATTTGTTACATCGGGAGAACACACTAAGTATCTGTTATGTTCCTGTGAAGATCTGTAGATCTTTGTTGGGACAAGTGGAATGTTAGTACTTCAAAATATGTTACAACATTCTGCTGCCTCACGGTGGCTGCAGCGGAGACTGCAATAGAATTTTCAAAAGGCGTAATCCAAAGCACTCTCCACGTTTTGCCTCGTTTTTCGGCAAGACTGTCTTGTGGTGGAGTGGGACTCAAAAGTTCTGGGTTCAGTTAGCAGTTCTCAGTTACAGACTTCCTGTGTGACTCTCTGCCTCAGTCCCCCGTGGGTTTGGTACTTCATTTCTTCCACCCTTTTCCTGCCTTGTCTATTGGACTGTAAGCTCTTGTACTACATGTTGGTACAGAACATCGCACAATGGGGCCCTGGTCTTAGTTGGGACCTCTCGGCTCTAATGTAATGCCGCTGCTAATAGTACTCTGCACCTCAGGGTCCCAAAGCACTTAATATTAAGACTTGCAATATCCATGTGGCTTAGGAAGTTACTATACTTAAACTGGGCACAAAGACGTGACTTATCCAAAGGTCACAAAGACTAGTGTCAGAGTCCAAGAGAAGTGAGGTGTCCTGAGTTCTAGGCCTCACAATTCCAGCTTCCTCACTCTTACAGTTCACTTGTTTGTACTTAAAGCCCTGAGCTTGCCTCTCTTTGAATCTTTGAAAGCTCTCTGCCCAAATTTAAATATCAATTTTAATAGAATAAAAAGTTATCAGAAGTGAAAAGCATTTTCTCTTTCCTTCCCCCCCCCCCCACTCTGCTTAATATTTTGCTAGAAGTAAAGATGGACAAGGTACCAGTGTTTTACCTTTGCTTCCATTCCCTCTATTTTTAGCTACTTTCTTGTGTATGATTTATTTGGTGAGGTTTTTACTGGAGTCCGTTCCAATAACCTCCATAAAATGTTCATCTAACTTAGTAATGGGTTCCTGTGAGTCGTGTCTGGGTTCCTGTTAGTCACACACTGTATATGGAGTTCTCATAACAAAGCTGAGTATGTATCGCGTTGTGGCCCAGGGTAGCAATGTATTTCATATGGGCTAAAGATGTAAATCTTCTGTTTTTCCACCTAAACCAGGAGCAGCAGATGCAGTGGCAGGGCAAATTTCCCTCACCCTCCACTGCTCCACAAATGTACCTCATCTCCGATCTTTAGGCTCCTTCCAGGGGTGAGAGAGTAGGTCTGTTTAAATCCTTGGCCTTTCTGCCAAGAAGGGTTGTTTTTGGTGAACAACACTTCATTGGACAGTTCGGTCACTCGGGGCCTGATTTCTGCAGGGTGGTGAACCCCTTCAAAACCCAGTTCAAGTGGAGCTGGTGGCATTCAGCGCCTCACAGCCCAGGACCTCTGTTGATTGCACTGTCCATGTAACCCACACCAGGATAGTGTTGGATCTTTGTCCATCTCTGGTAGCTGGTTGACGTAAGAGGTTAGTGAGTCTGCTACTGTTTCCAGTTAATGACATCGGTTCTTTAGCTCAAGTGGTAGAAGTTCATGCTTTTAGCATTGAAATTCCCATGTTCCAACCTTGCTGTCAGCCCAGGCAAGATCAGTTACATCTACATCAGGCTTTGCAAGTCTTATTTATTCTTTCCAGAAAGCTATTTCACTTGCAGTTATCATTGAGATAGCTGTTTTCATTTTAAACTTTCTGAAACGATGACCTTTGGAGCTGATATTTTGCCTGCTTACTCTCAGTTTTTTGAAAATCTTGAATTTAAACAGAACTCACCTTTGCATGTTCAGATAAAATGAGTCAGTGGGAAAACAGGTTTGCCTGACTTCAGTGGAGGGGCACTCCTTACCCCAGTGATTAATTTGGCCTAGCATGTTTATTTGCATATGCAATCAATCACATAATGCAATTATTATGCCAAAAAAACCGGGTAATTACAACTTTATTGTTGATGCCAAATAAAGTAAGGGAATTCACAGTAGTGAGGCCAGAATTTCAGATAATTAAGGTGAACACTTGTGGACCTAATTTACATAGAGTTACCATGACTGCATTTTCAAATCCATGCAATTAGCCATTTGGATGAGCAATTTCCCAGTTTACGTGGGCATACCTCAAGTGTCTGAATAACTGGCCCATAACTCCCACAGACACTGTAACTCAGCATTGTCAGGAGTATAGTTAAGGCATAAAATTAATGGCCAGGGCCAGCTCTACCATTTTTGCCGCCCCAAGCAAAAAAAAAAAAAAAAAAAACCCGCCCAGACTGTGCCACCCCAAGAATGAACGGAATGCCGTCCCTTAGCATGTGCCACCCGAGGCACGTGCTTCCTCCGCTGGTGCCTGGAGCCGGCCCTATTAATAGCATACACTGTGATACCAAATTCCACTTACTGTTGCTCTGATGAATCATAATTTTGAATTTCCTGCTGTTTTGTCTGTTTGCATTCTCAGCCGTTAAATGAATTATTTGCATCAACATCGTTTTCTGTTGCACTAATTAAATAGGAGGAATGTATGTAATATTTTTCTGTTCCAGTGACTTGTATATATATCAGACTAGGTCCTCCTTTGAAAATAGTTTAATAAAAGGATGCTACCCACTTGAATTTTTTTATATTGACTTGTTAAAAAAAAATTAGTTTCTGATAGAGCAGTCTTTAAATAACATCCACAGAATTGAAAATATACATAGGGACTTTTCTGCTTCCCCCTTGATGCTTATAAAGATCTTTTACTAGCAGAGAGAACAGGCAGACCCAAGAGTTTCAAAACCAAACTGGTTCAGACCCAGCCCCATCTCTTTCCTCTCTCTGCACATACCTGCCTACTGTCTCTTCAGTTTCACCAGCAGCTTTGCTGGTGCTGTTACTGGTAAACACTTCCTTGCAGAACTTGTGGGAAAGCTGGTGTTTGAGCCCCTGCCTTCCCATGCCTCTGTTAAGTACAGGAGTGATGGTGTTATGCTATTGCCATTTTCCTCAAACCGGGGGATGCGAAGAAATAGCCAAGGGGACACAGACAGACCTCTCTATATTGTTCTCCAGAGTCTCCACTTTCATTTGAAAACAAAAGAAGTCAATCAATAAACCAACCAACACAAAAACCCCTAGCTCCTAGGGTTGTGAAGAAACCATTCAAAACATAAAGCAAGTGTAATAAATGCACAGATGTCTGCCTGAGTTTGCAGACAGCCTGAAACAATAGATTCTAAGTGTGACCTTTCCCATTTATTTTAATGGGATGTGAACTCAGATGCCAATTTAAACAGCAAGTTGCTAACTATTTCATAGCTCATCAAAGCATGTAAGAAAGGCAAGGATTTATAGTATCTCAACCTTAACTATAGCAGAGCTGCTGTTCTGCTATAATGAAGATCTATGCAAGCATTTCCCAAAGTGGGATGGGAGGCACAAAGGACTACCTGGGGGAGTGTGGAAGATGTATACATTACATTGAGTAGGGCTCTAACACCACATGGTGGGGTTGCCCGTAGTTTCATTTTCTTGAATGGGGGAGCATCAGCTTTCAGAAGTTTGGGAAACACTATGCTAAGAAAATAATGCAGGCACTGAACATGACCATCAACTAGAGAGTGAGAATGCTGACTGTCCACAAAGTGCTGCCGAATGTACAAAGTCAACAAACCCTAAAAAAAAAGGGGGGGGGACACATGTATTTTTCTCACTTCTCTTTCAGTTATAGGAAATGTGGCTGTTCCCTGTAATACTGGCAGGTACAACATTTTCAGAAAGAAATGGTAATGGTGGCTCCTTAAGCCTGAAATGGCTCAATGAGTTCTGGCCATGGCGCCTAGGAAAGCAGCTTTCATTCTTCTCTAAATAATGTCCTAGAACTCCATCCAGCTGAACAAACAAAATGATTGTTTATATGTTGTGGATGTGACTCTACTAAAACATCTTAGATTTAATGAGTTTCATTGCAGCTGAGCAGGCTTCCATTCACATAGGTTTACTGCTGTGATGGAATTGGTCATATATTATTGTCAGAAATACAGTTCCCATGTCAGTATGACAGCAAAACAATATAAGGAGCTATCCTATAGCTAAGTTAGGAATGTCTATGCTACAGCTTTGACTGCTGGAGCTGCCCCACTGATAACCACAGATCTCAAAAAATCCTACTGTAGATGCAGCCATAGAGTAAAGATGTTTGATGCAATTGATTGGTCTAAGAAAATCTCAACTATTTCTGTGGTTTTGACATGGTGTTACTGTACCTCAGTGTGTGGGAAATGGTGATGAGAATTCAATAAAACCTCTGGGGATAAGATTTACGGTCTCTGCAAACTCATATTTGAAAGTTCCCACAGCAACTTCTGGAGTTTATCCATGTTAAATTTGAAAAGCTCATTGCTGTCTGAGAATATTGCAGCTCCCATTGTAACAGATAGCACATAAAGATTAGCAGAATTGAAAGACATTGTCAACAGTTCTTTTTCTCAATCTTTCCCCAGTTTTCTCATGCATTTGATGACACTTTGTGTATGGTCAGTGTCATTCTGGGGTGCAGTCCAGACCAGTGAGGGGTTGTGTCACCACCTGCCCTGCAACTTGGGGTCCCTCACAATGCTGGGACTTCATCTTTTTTAAAAAAAATTAAATCACAACATACTTTTAAAGAGTGTTCAATCAGAAATCTGAATATTTTTTTAAAAAAAGTAAATTTAAAAAAAATCAAGTTAAGAAGGTTCTTTTAAATAAGTGGTACAACTAACAGTGAAGTCCATTTGAGTAAAAAGTTTGAGTATCGTGTTTTATTTGTGCAAGCAAAATTTTGCCACCAGAGGCTTTGACTGAAAAACACTGCCCCGTACTGGGTTTTATCTATGGCAAAAGCTACAGAATACATGGTTCAAAATCTCCCCTACACCATTTTGAGGGGGAAGAAATGCAAGAGTTCTTCACACAGCTTTGGATAATTTATATGACCCGTGATCTCATGGTTGTAAATGACCTCAATAGTGTGTGTGTTTACCACAGTTTGTCCTGACCTTGCCCCAGCCCAGAACTGTCAATACACATGTACCTACTGAGGTCTTTTATTCCATTCAAATTAATCACACAATTGACATAATGTAAATTTAGTATATGACAGTCAATTGTCCCTAGTCAAAAGCAAATGCAGTTTACTAATTGGTTGAGACCTTTCAGTTTATCTGCTTGGATTTCTGGAATTAAGTCTTTGTTTGAGATTATATCTGCATTTACTAAAACTAATATCATATTAGACTGTGCTTCACCATTGGGGAAAACTTATCGCATGTATCTTTTATCGTCTGTTGACGTAAAGGCATTTATAATGTAACCAGATAGGTTTGCTTTTATAGGTCTCCAGACTAGATTTACTGCCTAGCTTTTGTTTGATTGCTACTGGTTGAAAGTCTCTCACTAAGCTGTAATAAAATGTACAGGCAGTGTCACTTTTATTATTCAGAGCAATAAATATTTGGTTGTAGATACCTAATCTGTTCTTTCTGTTAGTGTTTTTCTGGCATCAGATGATATATACACATCTGTAACTATGCAAGGGGTTACAGCTAGAGTACCACAAATGATCGTACAGGTTAGAAAAGTAAAAATTCTGTGGCTTTTAAAAACCCCCCGATAATAGTCATTTCATACTTGTGTATTTTTAGAAACATTTAAAACACAGCTCTCTCGGAGATTAGCTAGAGTTTCCATAATGGTTGCTAATGTGAAGTTCATCTAGCACAAAATGTTCACAGTTCCAGCTCTTATAGATTAAACAATGCTGGTTTGATGCAGGTGAGAGACAGGAGTGACAGTCATGAGGTTTGTTTCCCCACACCTGTCTTTCTGTGGCTTCAGCAGTTTGTGATAATGTGTGGCTTCTTCTTCTAAGTTTTGCAATGGAGCTGAAAGTTCTTTGCGGTTGCCCCCAGCCCATTATAGGAATACACTAGCAGTGCTCCCAGCGACCTGGGAATCGGTAATGAGATAGAACCCTTGCAGCAGTTCAAATGCAGCCTTGGGGCAGTAGCAACCCCAGGCTGTTATTATCCAGTGGCTATTAAGAGTAACGTCTCCATGGCTGTCAATCTAGCACCTTTCCCCAGCACTAAATTTACAAATTTTTAATTCAGAAAAGCATGACAATATAAAACGTGACCGTTAACTCTCTGGTTACCATGGAAATAGCACCAGTCATTCTGTGAGAACGTGACAGGAACGTGGTGAATGCCTTGGAAACCACAGTTACTGCTTGGGACAAGAGAATCCGTATGGAGAATATACGGACTAACCTGTATCTTCATCTAAGACTTGAGCTGAACCAGGCTCAATCATTTTGAAAAAATGGTGGCTTTTTCTTTTCTAAAATTGTTTTGCTGCCTCTGCAATTCCTGGCTTTGAAATCCAATAATAATTACGTGAGTGTGTTCTGGTGCTTGTGCTCAGCCAGATCCAGGAAATCTTAAAAAAGGGTGATCTCACAAGCTATTAAAAAAACAACTTTTCAAATGCTCATTCTAACAGAACCCCCGAACTCTCCAAGGGTCGCCCATCTCTCAGTAATGATATATTAACATGCTTACGACCACGGCCACGTTGGTTTTTGTTAAGTCAACGTGGTCAGATCACATAGTTCCCTACTACTCTTGTTGAAGTCTTGGTCTGAATGAAAACTGCAGGATTGATCCTGTACAAGCTACTCCTGCCTCCTTTACAAAGCAGAGGCCAACGAGGGGAGGACAGAGAAAATCCTATGTTGAAAAAGCAGTGCTTTTCATTAGCTAGAAAACACCCTCAAAATGAGTAATTCACAATACTATTATGTCACTCCATAGCACCCTGCACTTCTGTTTTTATTGGTGATGGGCCTGAAATAAATCTCTGGGTTCAAACACACCCAACCTTTGCAGCAGTCTTGAGTCAGGTCCAAATTTCATAGCTATCTCTTACCACCAAACACCCTTCAACTTCGGGAGCATTTCAGTCAAAGACAAAATGTGCAGTTAGAATTGAAGAGGAGAAAACACCTTTTTCACCTTGTGCAGTACCATTATTTTCTTCTTAGCACTTGCCAAGTACAGTTCCCAGCAAACATTAAGTATTCTTCACCCCTCCTTTGGGAGGCATCCCCATTGTACAGGAGGGCAGGATCAGTGCCAGAATTGAAACCTGGCTCCTAGTCCTTTACGCAGATCAGCCCTCTGCCTTTGTCCTGTAAATTGCAGGCACATTGATTTGTGTTTTCCAAGGAATCTTAACACAGTCTCTCCCCTCAGAACTACAATTTTGTTCCTAAATTTAATTGTTCAGTCTCAAGGCAAAAAAAGACACCCTGTTTGCACGCACCAGAGCTGTTTGTCCTCACAGAGGAGGGGAGTTATCATTTGCCAGTAAAATGGTGGGCAACAAATTTTGAGTCCTTTGAAAAACTGTCCCATTTTACTTATCTGTGATGCTTGGAAGGACAGGAAATAAAGCAATAAAGAAATGATCAGATGAACGCTCCTTATTTCTGTTGAAGTGCATGATTAATAGGTTAATGCAGGAGGATAAATGATCAGAAACAAAGGCGCCTGGGGAGTGATTGCCATGTAAAATGTTTCAAAATACGTCATGCAATTCTCTCATGTTTTTATTTTAGAAAGATGAGAAAGCGACAATAGCCAAGATGAACAGACAGCGCACCAATTCCATCGGCCATAACCCTCCACACTGGGGTGTGGATCGCCCCTTTTACAACCATCTGGGTGCTCACCAGGTCTCCAAGGAGATGAAGAGAATGGTAAAGATGTTTTGCTTTATGGAATATTTATTATTGTTTATTATTTATAGAGCACCAGGGGCTGTGTATGGCACATTGCAGAAAAATGTGCCTCCCTGTCTCGGAGGAATTTACAGTCTAAGGGGCCAATGCGGCACACACTTACTATTGGACACGGTGAATATTACCTTGACTTCAGAAGGACAATTCACAGCAGTACTAGGTACTCTTGGACACACGTTTTTTGTGGGATTGGGCCCTAGGTTATTTGAGGATGACTAATACTGAGATGGGAGGTTGAATGGCAAAAAAAGACTGCGTTTATTTAACTCTTCACCATGGTGTGAACACTCACCCCACGTTGAGTGAGAAGAGCAAGTGTTCTGCTAAATATGTGTAGACACCAAGTTTTCCATATGTAAAAGAGATTAATTGCCAACGGTTATTTTCATTGCTTTGGATTTTTTATGTACACCTACTGTAAGTAATGTCATCATTTATACTCATTGGTCTCCAGGGAATCTTTTTCATGACTTGCAACTCCCCAAAGGAAAAGTGGCAGCTCCATCCCTTGAATTATTTAAGATTGCACTATACATAGCACTCAAGAATACACTGTAAAGCATATGGAATAGTTGACCTATGGCAATGGGTCTCTAGTTCCTAGCCTTCCTTTGGGAAAATTGAATTTGATATCCAACCAATTGCCAACACAACTTCTTGACAGGGCAGTGCTGCTCTCTGGCTCATTTTAGGCAACATTGGAGATGGTGAGTCTTTCTTGCAGGGAATACATGGAAATAAAGATGAAGGAAAAGAAAACACTTTATTTTAATAGGCAATTCATAATAGTAACATAATAATAACACTTAGCACTTTTGTAGTAATTTGCATAGTCACATTGGTTTACAAACATTAACTTATTAATCATTGATTAATCAAAGCTTTTAAAATAAATGAATTTCCTTTAATCTACATTTCAAGTTAATTCAGGGCAAAATTAAAAATGTGTCTCGGTTACAAATGGATATGTCTCTGAGATTGTAGAATCCTAGAAGTGTAGGGCTGGAAGGAACCTCAAGAGGTCATCTAGTCCAGACCCCTGCACTCAAGGCAGGACTAAGTAATAACTAGACCATTCCTAACAGGTGTTTGTCTAACCTGTTCTTAAAAATCTCCAATGACTGAGATTCCACAACTTCCCTAGGCAATTTGTTCCAGTGCTTAAATACCCTGACAGTTAGGAAGTTTTTCTTAATGTCCAACCTAAACCTCCCTAACTGCAATTTAAGCCCATTGCTTCTTGTCCTATCCTCAGAGGTTAAGGATAACAATTTTTCACCCTCCGCCTTGTTGCAACCTTTTATGTACTTGAAAACTGCTATCATGTCCCTTCTCAGTCTTCTCTTCTCCCAACTAAACAAACCCAATGTTTTTCAATCTTTCCTCATAGGTCATGTTTTCTTGACTTTTAATCATTTTTGTTGCTCTCCTCTGGACTTTTCCCAATTTGTCCACATATTTTCTGAAATGTTGCGCCCAGAACAGGACACAGTATTCCAGGTGAGGCCTTATCAGCACAGAGTAGAGTGGAAGAATTACTTCTTGTGTCTTGCTTACAACATTCCTGCTGATACAACCCAGAATGATGTTCGCCTTTTTTTCCCTCCAAGAGTGTTACACTGTTGACTCATATTTAGCTTGTGATCCACTGTAAGCCCCAGATTCCTTTCTGCAATACTCCTTCCTAGGCAGTCATTTCCCATTTTGTATGTGCGCAACTGATCATGCCTTCTGGGAGTACTTTGCATTTGTCCTTATTGAATTTCATCCTATTTACTTCAGACCATTTCTCCAGTTTGTCCAAATCATTTTGAATTTTAATCCAATCCTCCTAAACACTTGCAACCCCTCCCAGCTTGGTATTGTCCGCAGACTTTATAAGTGTACTCTCTCTATGAAAGCCAATTGGAAATTACAAACTATATACACACATATATTTTGCACACATAATTATGTGGCATGTCGCATACACCCCCATATATTTTTGAAATTGCAGCGCTTACTGAGTGATACGAGAATTATTTTTTTGTTTCCCCTAAACATAATTAGGTATGATTGGAGGTCTCTGCATTTTTCTGCAAACTGCTTATCATTAAGGCTACGTTTTAGTCACGGGTATTTTTAGTAAAAGTCATGGACAGGTCATGGGCAATTAAAAAGTCACGGTCCCTGAGCCCTGTCCATGACTTTTACTAAAAATACCTGTGACTAAAACGTAGCCTTAATGTGGGGGGCGCTCCTGAAAACTGCTGCTGGGGGGGGGTAGCATGGGGTGATGCTTCTGCTGGGGGGGCAGCCCATGCCCCTGCTGCCACTCTGAGCGGGGGGCAGCCTGTGGCACTGCCGCTGATCCTGGTGGGGGACGGCCCATGGCCCTGCTGCCGCTCCGGACGGGAGGCAGCCCGTGGCCCCACCATCACTGCCACTTTGGACAGGGGGGCAGCCTGTGGCCCCACTGCCGCTGCAAAATTCATGGAGCTCACAGAAAGTCACGGAAGCCGTGACTTCCCGTGACCTCCATAAATGATTCGCAGCCTTACTTATCATTGACATTACACACCAAAAAAACTATGTTAAAAGAACGTTATTCAAGTTGCAACATTAAGCACTCAGAAATTAGGAAATTCCATCATTCAGGTGGCCTGGCTCACCGCAGCTAGGAGCAGCCATTACAGGGAAAATCCAACTTCACCCCATAGTTCTGGGCTGGAGGGAGTATGCTCAGCCACTCTGTGATGATTGCATGCAGAGTCTGGTCACACAAAGGGGTTGTGAGGGGCTCAAGTATACTCAGTGAGGATAGAATCTTTGGAGATTTTAACTGGTAAAATCTAAAAGTCTCTATGGAGCATGTGCAAACTGTGATTTTCTTCCCCAAAGGCTAATAACGTGGCCAAATGTAGGCAGACTTTCACAGGCATGGCAAAAAGCACATTGCTGACACAAAGGCCACTCCCCAGCCAAATTTCAAGTCCCTGCTCCAAAGCACGGGGATGCTAGAAGTGGAAATTATTACCAGACATTTTTAACAAGGGCATAACAAAATTTTCCTAAAAATTCAGCCAAATGCAGGCCTCTGCATGTAAAATTTCAGCCCAAACAATTAGTTTGGTGAAGTAATAAGCAACTGAAAACAGGGTCTTATAATGGGAAGTGTCAGATAACCTTAATTATAGGTGGTGCTACCAGTCTGCCTATAATATCTTTTACCTTCACAATAATGAAGCCTAATCCATTTGTATCCCCATAGTCATGTGATCTTGTTTAATGAATGCAGGCTTTTTTTCCCTTCCCAAGCTCTTTAAATGTAGTTCCATGAAACAGCCATAACATATTATCTGTCTGGCAGTACATTTTGTTAGTGGACAAATCTATGTTATCTTTTCAGTAGTTCGGACTCAATAGGCATGATGTTATTAGCAAATCCTAATCAAGATAGCATGTAATTATAAGTAGAAGTTTCTTTTGAATTGGCTTGAAAAGGGTTGTTGCATCATCATATTCAAAAAAGAGGAGTGAGCATGCCAAATGGTATTATGCTTCATGCTGTTAATTACAGTTTGCCATGTCTAGCTCGTTGTTCAGTTGGAAAAACATAATTATTTATTGACATATCAAGATAAGATTAAAAAAAAATGTGCTGCCAATCGCTTGGGGGTGGGAGAGAGTTCTGGAACAAGGGAAGACAGTGTCACTTTCTCATTCTTTTACGTATCTTGTACCTTAATTTGCAATGACTTTTACCTTTAGAAAGAGTCTGCAGCTCAGAAATTCTTTCCTGGCAGATCAACCTCCATTCCTTTTAGTAGCAGTTAATACTTCTTGGTTACACTGATGGGAGAATTTAATTTGAGAGGCTGACGTTGTCTACAACTCTTTGTGTCAGATTCATTCCCAAAAACCAATTTGAAACTGACTCAGTTTTGTTTTTTACTTATTTTCAGGTTTTGAGACTCCCCACTATCACTTTTACACAACACTTTCCTTTTGTTTGTGATGCTGTAGCCAAAAATAACACCTGCATTCTCCATGGAAAAGATCATTTTAATGTCCACTAGGCAGGTGGTTTGCTGTTTCAATCATAGGTGGGATTTTTTTCTCCCTTAAGGTAAATTCTCTTCTGCAGCTTTGTAATAGTTAGCTTTCTACCCTGCCACATGGGCAGTGCAGTGGATGTGTGTGGTATAAAATACATGTTGCCGCTATTGTATTAGATGCATACCCTGTGTTGTGTGCACACATGCACACTATGTCTGTAAACTATGTGTCTATGGGTAAAATAGACATAAAATATGTGTGCACAAAAATATGTGTAGGTGGACACAGGTTTTATCAGCACTTCAGTGGGATGATGTCATGGCTTTGACCTTCATGAGTAACAGTCATCCCAAACTCCTGAAAATGTACCCTTCCCTCCATACCACTCACTGTGCATTTTTTCCCATTCCCAGCCCATGATGGTGTGGTATAAAGGTTTTGGCGATCCCTCAGGGTCAGGGATGCTCTTTTAGCCAGGTTTTTATTTTTATGGGTCCTTTGGTGACTGAGGAGTCCAGTCCTTGAGCCGCAAACTCGTTGGCAAACATTGCAGGTAATGTTGGAAGGCAGTGTTGGGCCATGATTGCTACATGACAATCATCTGTCCTTTCTTTTCTGGCATTTTTCTGTGACCAGGGTAAGGCGATTTTCCTCAAAAGCGATAGTCCCTACTCTGGCAAGTCTTGGCCAGTCCTGGGCTACTGTCTCCCAGTGCATGGTATCTATGCCACATCTCTTAATGTTTGTCTTAAGGGTGTCTTTAAAGCATTTCTTTTGGCCTTCCCGTTGTCACACACAAGAGAAACTACACTCTTCTGAATTGCATTTCCTCAGCAAAGACATTTTGGAATCAAACTTCTACATGCAGGAGGACAGAGAGAAATGTTCTAATGGCAATTTGATTATTTTTTTAAATTCTG